GCAGTACTTACTAAAAATCCTGAGACATAATTAATTTACCAGGTTAATTAGCTTAAAGTCTCCCAAAGTATATTCTTGAAGCAGAGAAATAAAATAGTGACAAATTTAACAGTGGTTATAAGGAAATTCCCTGGGACTCTGACCCTCCAAAGTGATGAAATGAGATCTTGAACAACCTGGTTATAAAAAAAAGTATGCTGAAGTTATCAGGGTCTGTGTAAAGATGAAAATAAGGAATTAGGAAATTACTGTAGACTAAATTAGAATCTATCAGCTTTGCATGGGTAGGACATATTATGATTACATGTTAAGAATTTGCTGATCAAAAATACTTAAGCAATTAGTTCGTCATTAAAAGCACTTCATAGAAAATACATTTATAGAAACTAATCATCAAAGAGCTTTGCATTACTACAAAGGTACAGTAATAAAGCCAGTGTGGTGCTGGCATAAGGATAGACATATCCATCAATGGAACAGAACTGAACTTGCAGAAATAAACTTTCACAAACACAATCAGCTGATTTGCAATGGAGTGACAAGACAATTCAATAAAGAAAAGCAGTCTTTTCAAAAATAAGGTTCTGGGACAACCAGACTGTCACATACAAAAGAATGAACTTGGATTCCGACTTCATAGCATATATAAAATTAACTCAAATCAAAGACCTAAATATAAGAGCTAAAATCCACAAAACTCTTAGAAGAAAACAAAAGTATAAATCTTTGTAAACTCAAACTAGGTAATACTTTCTAAGATGTGACACCAAAAACAACAAAAGAAAAAATAAATGGGACTTCATCAAAATTAAAAACTTTTGTGTTTCAAAGGACACCATAAAGTGAGCATACAACCCACAGAATGGGAACGAAAAACTGCAAACTGTGTATCTGATTGGAAGAGATTTGTACCTAGTATATATAAGGAACTCCTTCAACTCAATAATAATGATACAAAAAAACCCCAAGTTTGAGATGGGCAAAGGATCTGAATAAATATTTCTCCAGAAAAATATGTACAAGTGGCCAACATGCACATGAAAAGATGTTCGACGGCATTACCCATCATGGAAACGCAAATCAAAACCTCTGTGAGAACCAGTTCACACCCACTAGGATGGTTGTAATTAAAGGCAGATAATAAATGTTAATGAGGATGCAGAGAAATTGGAACTCTCATAAATTGTACAATGTTGCTGCCACTTTGGAAAATAGTTTGTCAGTTCCTCAAAAGATTAAATATAGTTAACATATAACACAGTAAATAAACTCCCAGGAATATATCCAAAAAGAAATTAATGCTCACACAAAAACTTGTACACAAATATTCAAGAAACAGAACTTCCAGTCAAGATGGAGGCATAAGTAGATACGCATTGCCTCCTCACATAACCATAAGAAGGATAACCAACCTAAAAACAAAAAACAACCAGAACTGCAAGAGAATCAAACTGTATGGAAGTCCAACAACCAAAGAGTTAAAGAAGAAACATTCATCCACACAGGTAGAAGGGGCAGAGAGGAGCAGCTGGGGCAGAGAGGACACATGCAAAAAAACAGCTATGGCCAGCAGAATGGGTAGTCCCGCATTCATGTGTGAATAAAAACCAGGACAACTGGGGAGTAAGCAAGTCTCAGCCTCAGGACAGATCACACAACCCAGGGTTCCAGTGCTGGTAAGAGTGTGAAAACCTGGGGGGGGGGGGCCTGTGGCAGCAGAAGAAACTGCCAGTCTCTAAGGGGAGTCTGTTTGAGGGGCCCAAGGGATCCCAGAATGTACACAAGCCCACACACTCAGGTAATCAGCACCAGGTCAGTCATTTGCCAGAAGTGGGGGAAGTCACTGAAAGCTGGCAGAGCCAGGCAAGTGGCATTGTTCCCTCTATGACCTCTCCCCTACATACAGCACTACAACGTAGTGAAGAGGGTTGCCCAACGCTGGCAAACACCTAAGGCTCCACTCCTTACAACGTAGCACATGCACCAACAAATTGAGATGACTAAAAAATATGGCCCAAATGAAAGAACAGATCAAAACTCCAACAATAGAACTAAGCAAAGAGGAGATAGCCAACCTATCAGATGCAGAGTTCAAAACACTGGTAATCAGGATGCTCACAGAAATGATTTAGTATGGCCACAAAATAAAGGAAGAAATGAAAGCTATACAAAGCAAAATGAAGAAAAATGTACAGAGAACCAACAGTGAAGGGAAGGAAGCCAGGACGCAAATTAACACTTTGGAACAAATGAAAGAAATAAACATTCTTTCTTGGAACAGAAACAAGAATTCAAAAAAATGAGGAGAGGCTTAGGAAGTTCTGGGACAACTTTAAATGTCCCAACATCTGAATCACAGGGGTGCCAGAGGAGGAAGAGCAAAACATTGAAAACTTATTTGAAAAAATAATGAAAGAAAACATCCCCAATTTGGTAAAGGAAATAGATACATAAGTCCAGGAAATTCAGAGTCCCAAATAAGTTGGACACAAAAAGGGCCACAGGAAGGCACATCATAATTAAAATACCAAAAGTTAAAGAGAATCTTAAAAGCAGCAAGAGAAAAGAAGGGAGTTACTTACGAAGGAGTTCCCATGAGACTATCAGCTAATTTCTCAAAAAAAAACTTTGCAAGCAAGAAGGGACTGGCAAGAAGCATTCAAAGTCATGAAAAGCAAGGACCTACCTCCAAGATTACTCTATCTAGCAAAGACATTTAAAATGGAAGGGCAGATAAAAGTGCTTCCCAGACAAGGTAAAGCTGGGTAAGTTCATCATCACCATGGAATTACATGTAAAGTTAAAGGGACTTGTCTTAGGAAAAGATCAAAAGTATGCACGGTAAAATGCCAACAAACTCATAACTATCAACAACTGAACCTAAAAAAAATTAAGCAAACTACTAGAAGGAACAGAATCATAGAAATGGAGATCACATGGAGGGTTATCAGCAGAGAGGAGGAAGGGGAGTATGGGGGGGAAAAGTACAGAGGATAAGAAATATATATGGCAGGTACAAAATAGACAGGGAAGTTTAGGGTAGTAAAGGAAATGCAGGAGCCAAAGAACTTATATGTGCAACACAGGGACATGAACTAAGCGGCGGGTGGGGGGGGGATAGCTGTAGAGAACAGGGGTACTGGGCAGAGGGGAGCAAAGGGTAATAAATGGGAAAACTGTAATAGCATAATTAGTAAAATATACTTTAAAAAATACAGCATGACCCATATTAGTGAAACAGTGGAAACAACTCAAACTCAACTGATGAATTTATAAAAATGTGGTATATTTGTGCAATGGAATGTTACCCAGTAATAAAGAGGAATAATGTGCTGATGGATGCAGCATGAGTGAACCCTAAAAACATGAGGCTAAATGAAAGAAGCCAGTCACAAAAGACCACATATTATATGCTTCCACTTATATATATATATGTCCAGAACAGGGAATTCTAGAGAAAAGGAAGTGTATCAGTAGTTGCCTAAGTTTGGGGTAGGGAGGGAGGAAAACTGATGTTAGGAAGAAGTGGAGAATGTGTGCTAATAAATACAAAAGTTTCTTTCTGGGGGTGATAAATGTGTTCTAAAACCAACTGTGGTGAAGGCTGCCCCAAATTGTCAATATATTAAAAACCATTGTAGCATTGTCCACTTTTGAAAACTTACATGTGACTTGTATCTCAATGCGCTTATTTTTAAAAAGATCTATGCCAGGACTAATAGCTACAAGATGAATGTTGATATTGGTGTGAACACTTAAATAGGTGACATTCAAATTCCAAACCCTTAAACAAGCATGCTTGAAAGAACTGAAATGCTTCTTACACAAGTATGGATTATTTTCTTGTCAGGTTATTTTAATCCAACATTTTTAGAGTGATGAATAAAAACAAAAATTCCTGAAACAATCCAGAAATTCCAAAAGTTTTATTCAAAATGAAATCACATTTTATTCAGATAGAATCACATGTAACAGTCAAGGTCCGGTGTCTCAAAGCATCAGCTGAGGTTTGGACTAAGACCAATAAGATGAATACTTTGTTGTCAGTTGCCATTAAAATTATCCTCTTGATGATCACGGACCAGATGAAAGGGACACAAACTATTTGTTTTTGTTAGTTTCCTATTATTAAATATCTTTTATAAAATTAATCCTTAAAGGAAACAAACTGGAGTCTAAAAGGTGGTGTGTATGAGAGCTGCTATGCAATCCAGCCCAGTCACCAGACTGAATATTGTTTTCGTATCAAGTGAAGGTAAGCTCTATTTTCATTCGTGTTGTGTTCACCTGATGAACCCCATACAACTCCCGCGCCCATCTCCTACTAAAAATGATTTTAAGACACTTTTCCCCACATTACTATAGTTCAAGACTACTACGTCTTCAGAAGTTTATCCGATATTTGTGGATTTTAGTCACAGAATCCCTTGACCATGTCTTTCCTTAAAGAAAACCAGTTCTTTTGCATGTCACTTGCTTAAGGCACCCTTCCCACACCCCACTCCCCGTGGAGTAAATGTACTAACCTTATTTAAACAAAGATGACTGAAGGACAGAGATCTTAGTAATGAGCAATGGATTGGAGACCCAGCACACATCCACCCTCACCTTCTCAGTCTCCTCTGGCTTTACTCCTCCATCCATCTTAAACTCTAGGTGGAACACAGCTGACAGACAATTCTTTGAACTGGTCGAAAGCTTTCCTTCTGCCATGTTGTGGCTCACATAAAATACTGCCTTCCTTGTACCCCCATTAAGTCTTTACTTGTTCATACCTTACTTTTCTTTTGAGACTCAGAGGAAAAGCCCAACTCCTCATGTAGCCCTTCCTAACACTCCCTTAACTCTAGGACATGATATAAATTCTGGCACAGGACATTCGGCAGTGGCACAGCATCATCATGGCACTGAGGGCAAACACAAAGGACACAGGGTTCACTGAGTTTTGTTTCCCCTTGTAGAACACAGGATCTGTCTGGGTAAAAACTGTGAGGTCTTAACAGATTTCAGTGATGATTTATTAAAAATATTTATCTGCTTTTAAGTTAAGTAAACAATTTCAATGCAAATATTCAGTAGGGCATCTTTCCCATTGCGCCCAGGATTTCATCTCTTTCTGCTGCTGTAGGCATAGGTGGCTTTACTCCATTCTGTCTTCTCTGCATCATGACAGAATTCTGCATGTAGGTATAAAAAAAAGAAACCAAAATCAGTCATGCATTAAATGCTAATCATTTTCCAGTACTCTGCTATTGCTTCCTCAGAAAGAGAAGTCTATAAACCAAGTTAAAGGAACCAAAAAAAAACTAATTGTAGGACTTCAGATAAAGTTTTCAAACCATTACCAATTAAATAGAAGTGATATTCCCACAGGAATTTACCAACAGTAATTGGGATGAAAACATGCTATTTAACTACAAGAGCATAAGAGTACAGTGTATTAGTGAAAGCATCAATCAATTTAGCAGAGAGAACTAAAGCGGCTGAACGTAGTGCTCAAAGAAACAGACTACAGACCAGCATCTCAGGAAAAATGGGACCATTTAAACTACCCTGGTGGTGGCGGGAGAGGCAGCAGAAATGGAAGCCTAATATGTGTTATGACAAGACAAGTTATCCATTCTGTCCATCTCCAAGAGAAATAAAGTTATAACAAGGTTATTGTTTTAGGGCTGCAGATACTTATATACCTAAGAAGACCCATCTCTATTATTTGAACTGCATCCTTATGCCTTGGAGTAGGATAAGGCAACTAAGAAGAGCTCTCGAGGATTGTTTAGGGCTAAAACAACACCTGAAGGATAGAGTAAGACAGTTAAGTTTCCAGTGGGGATGGGGACTGACTGTGGGAGTGGGTGGGGGGCTGCGAGGGGGAACAAAAGGGAAAAAATTGGGATGACTGTGATAGTGTAAACAATAAAATATTTAAATAAAAAATAAAATTAAAATAAAGAGAAAAGCTGTTTCACTACAGCCATCCCAAAGAAAGGATTGTGGATATTGATTCATTTCAGGCTTCAATATCAAGTCTAACAGATGAGTTAAGACTATCTCATCAAACCACAGTAGACTTACCCAGAATTTCCGGCAGTTTTTGTATTTCAAGAAGTAAGTGGAACACCTTTCCTTGTCATAATTATTTTCATCCATACATCTGGCAGAAGCATCAGATTCCTTAAATATGTAAAATAAGCAGCATTTAAGAGGTGAAATGCGATCTAAAAAAAAAAAAAAACCCAAAACTTCTGAAGTTGCTGCCACCACAAAGCAGCTCATATGAAACAGTCCCTTTTTGTTCATTTAATGAAAATTTAATGAACAAAACCTGAATTATCTTTCCAACTAGCCCAAGCATTCGTTCTGCTCAGGGCAGACATCTTCCTTTTTATAGTCTGAGTTAGTTTTCTGAATATCTGATCACAGGAATTCGAGCCAAGGCACTGGCTGAGATCATTTAACCCAGTAACCATTTAACAAAGAAGCTGTGGCAAGGTGCGGTGTGCTGAAAATCACTGCTGCATAGCTAGAATCAAAACCCTCTCCTGACTCACAGGAGAGTAATCCTGTTTTTCCAAATTCTGACTTTGACTTGAATGTCCGATCTTAATGCTAGTTTTGAGATCTAAGTAAATTGCTAATAACTGGTCTACATCAAGGCAACTTAAATTAACACCATTCACCTCAGTGTACTTTTGGCTATCATTTACTTCATTACACAAGTTAATACACTACTGTGAAAGCAATTTTAATAGATATCATTAATATCACTTTAAAACTAAGTGAGCAACACAGGACTATGAGTTCAAAGGAAGGTAGCTATCACTTGGGAATTAAATTTAAGTTGTCTGAACTGGAAGTAGATTGGATAACAAACTTCAAAGTGAAAGATATGACTCAGACAGGTCACCACCTAAAGAAAAGCTTTAACTAAAGGGGTAGGTAATTTGCTTCATGGATCCAAGAAACATATTCTATCTAAAGAGACTTAATAAAGCAGTTGAAAACATCAAATATACAGAACAAATCTAAATTTCTATGCCAGATAATCAATGAATGTGTATAATTGGAAAGTCCACATAATAGGGTCAGGGAATATCATTTTATACCACCAATCTGATGATTACATAATTCAAGGGTGACAAATATATTGCTACTCATACCAAATAAGTGCCAACAGAGCTTATTAATCAGCAAAATATTGTTTATATACCTTTGTTAAAACTTTTAGACTTTTAATAGACTAAGTCTATGTCAGCCCCTTACTCTCAGCCAGGTGGTCTTAAGGACATGATGAAATTATTGCTATTAAAACATAAATTTCGCCCTGGCTGGTGTGGGTCAGTGGATTGAGTGCGGGCCTGCAAACCAGACAATCGCGGTTTGATTCCCAGTCAGGGCACATGCCTGGGTTGCAGACCAGTTCCCAGCAGGGGATGCACGAAAGGCAACCATACATTGATGTTTCTCTCCCTCTCTCCTTTCCTTCCCCTCTAAAGACAAATAAATAAAATCTTTAAAAAAAACCCATAAATTTCAGTGATAATTTAAAATATCACACTTCGCAAATTTCCAAGTTTGGACTAAAATTTTTCCTCAGTGTTACATGTATCTGTTTAATAGTATAGTGAAAACTAAATGCTTGTGTATTATATAAATAAGTAAAACTTAAAAGAGATAAATCTTCATTAGCTAAATTCTGCATATCTAAAAAATGCTCTAGTGAAATGAGGATACACTAGTTAGGACTATTTTTTATATGGAAATAACTTGAAAAAATGGCAGGCCATCTGTATGTCCTCTTTGGAAAAGTGTCTGTTCAGTTCTTTTGCCCATTTTTTAACTGGATTGTTTGTCTTCTTGGTGTTGAGTTGTGTGAGTTCTTTATATGTTTTGGAAATTAGCCACTTATCAGATGTATCATTGGCAAATATGTCCTCCTACTTCGTGGGTTCCCTTTTCATTTTGTTTATGGTTTCTTTTGCTGTGCAAAAGCTTTCTAGTTTGATATAGCCCCATTTGTTTATTTTTTTACTTTGTTTCTCTTGTCCAAGGAGACATCACTACCAAAAAATCTCAGAAGAAAAACATAGGCAGTAAAATCTCAAACATTTATCAGGCCTATTTCTTGTACTTCTGGCATAATACATGTCTCTAGGGGGAAAAAGAAGACATTTCCCTTACTAAGTGTATAACTTAGTGATAACGGAAACGTGGAGATGATTTTAGAAGTACTCTTCCACACATGTCATGGGGCTCAATGAAAATGTTCACTGAGAAATCAAAAACTGACAGGTTTGGGGAGGGGCCTTTGTCCACAGCCTAGGTCAGGGGAAATGTCTGTGTATTTTGTTAGCACCTTCCCCTACAAAAAAAGACTTAGAAATAAAGTTCATTGAACCAAATCTCCTGATCTATGAAAGAATGAAGGCAAAAACAGGCAGCTTCATCAAGGGAGAAAAAGGAGTATCTTTATCTTCCAATAGATTCAGAGCAATCTGGGAAAGTGTACCCACATAGTCAACAGAAGAAAATGAGTATTGATATCATGTTACCCAACTATTAAACTGAAGAAAATAATGATTAAGGATCAACCCTGGCTGGTGTGGCTCAGTGGACTGAGTGCCGGCCTGTGAACCCAAAGGTCGTCAGTTTGATTCCCAGCCAGGGCACCTGCCTGGGTTGAGGGCCAGGTCCCCGGTTGAGGGCGTGCTAGAGGCAACCAGTCGATGTATCTCTCGAACACTGATGTTTCTTTCCCTCTCCTTCTCCCTCCCTCTCCCACTCTCTAAAAATAAATATACAAAATCTCCTATTTAAAAAAATGGCAGAAAACAGAAATAGATTGGTAGAGACAGAGAACAAACTAATGGCTGCCAGAAGAAAGGGAAGTGGAAGGAGGGGTAAAAAAGGTGAAGGTACAATCTTCCAGTAATAAAATAAGTGACAGGGATGTAATGTACAGCACAGGGAATGCAGTCAGTAATACCTTACGGTGACAGATGGTCTCATTAGATTTATTGTGGTGATCACATCATAAGGTATATAAATGTCAAGGCACTGTGTTGTACATCTGAAACTAATATGTCAATTATACTTTAATAAAAAATAAGTAAATTAATTTAAAATAATAATAAATAAAATAGTAGAAGAAGATCTAAATGAATATTTACTGGATCTCTGGGTAGGAAATGTAAAACTCCTATACTTAAAAAAAAATCCCATTAAAATTAAAAAGCAAACTGAGAAAAACAAAAAAAAAACTGCACAAAACAGAAGTCCACAAAAATCAGAAGAAGCCTGTTTTTCCAACGTAACACTCATGCAAATTAAAAGCAAACCACCTTACCAACAAGCAAGGATTTGTGTCAGGATCTCTCAGTCTCCGTGTTACCATTGGCATCCTAACAGTCTTCTTACTGAAGGTAGTAGAGGTTAGGGAAAAGGGTTACACAGTGGGTATCATAAAATAAATCAATCAATCTCATTTGCCCCTTAAGTACTTGAAAATTAATTCTGGAATAATGATTATCTAGTGAGAACTTCATGTAGCCTATTTTGAAGATAAGGACTTGGATATGTTTTTCCTTTGCATTGTTATGGTGCCTCAATACAAAGACCATATTTAATTAAGTGTATCTGAGATTTGATTATAATGTCCAAACTGAAAGATAGTTTAGCTATCACTGTTTTATCTTATACTTATTTCTAAAGGTTAAGTAATTAATTTTACTAACAAAACCTAATACAGCATGTGTTCTAACAGTTATTTCCCTACAATACATTGATTAGCATACAAAATAAGTGTGGAATAATTTAGTACAACCCAACTTTACCAAAAACATCTGTCAACTACCAAACAGGAATGCCTACTCTGTGGCTAGCACTAGAGTGACCAATATACAAAAAAAAAAAAAAAAAAAACAAAGTTACTGCTTAGTTGACATTTCAAACAGTTTTTTTAAAAAGCTGAAACTCTACTCCCAGTGTTTTCTATTTAATGGAGACTTCTGGGTTGAAGGAATCAGGGAAAGCTATGATTCATTAATATTTCAGCTCAAGCCTTATAGACACATCCTGCAAAAGTTTTTATTGATTAGAGGTGATAACAGTTTCCTAAGAGCCAATTAGTGAATCCAAGTCAGGTCATATACTCATATAATAGATATGCCAACTATATACCAGGACAATTGCTCTCTATAACGGAATTCAATTAAAATTGGTATGCCTACTATCTTCAAAGACACCATAGGAACTAAAAGGAAAAAAATTAAAATAATAACTAACTGAAATTTTTCGAAGTGATTTTTTGGTCTCAGTATATTATATACCATAGATAAGCCACCCACAAATGTTTCCTGAATCCTATTCTAGATTAATTATCTTCCACTTAAAGGATGAAGGAGAAACCAGAAAATAATGTAATGACCTACAAAATGCCACAGAATAAAAAGTCCAGCTGTGTGAGCTATTGACATGTCAGCATATTGATGGTCAGCATAACCAGACAGAAGTCAGAATATGTGTATGAAATGGTTTGTATTTTCCTTGCCCAAGATGAGACCATCAAAAGATACGTCACATTAAAAAAATAAAGTACATTTAAGAAAAATAATCAAACCCCACAAGCTCCCGAAAAGTGGAAGTATTCTCTCAATCAAGAGTCACCTAGTTAGTCTGGTTTCTTCTACTGCGGGAAAGATTAGGCTGTCTACGCTAAAAGAGACCAACATTTGCAAAAAAGGATGGAAAATAGTTTAGTCATTCTGGGGTCTTTTAACTTTTGTACCCACTAAGTAATCCTTTCATTTTATGATTTTCATTGAATATATGAATATGCCTAGTTAACAGAAACATCTTGGCTAAAAGGATATTCAAGATGCTCCGCAAATATATCTCGAAGTGTCTTCCTTTACTAAACACAATTCTTTTGCAGCCTTGACTTCCTAGAGTGATGATGATGCTAAGTAACCGCACAGCCTTGCTTTTTACATCTATCCTATTACCTGAGCACACAGAACTCTGCCTAGGTGTTCATATTCCTTGGATATAATCTCAACCACCATCAGACACAGACAAAACTCAGATTGCATGCCTTACATGAAAGCCCCCTACTCTGCATTTTATTATCATCATTAGTCAGGAATTCTTTAAAAATAACACCTAGATAACATCACATAAACTTGAATCAGGTTTACGGTGTGAGTTTATGCACATTCATATTTCATTTCCTTTCCCTTCTTAATTCTAAATACAAGTCAATCCAAGTTTGGACTTCCGAATGTCATCTTCTTTGCATAAATTTCTAATGTATAAACCGGAAATGTCAATTTACAGTGAGAAGTGGGGCTGAAGGGCAAAATCGAGTGTTCTGCTAGAAAGGCCTCATCTACCTACTTTCTGAAGGTACTAAGCAAAAGTTTACAAAGCTCTACTTGCCAGAAAGAAAAACCACAGTTCTAGGAGGGGCTGCACAACTACATGTGCAGGAACAACTCTAAAATCTCCTCTAAAGGGCAAACTGCTTTAAAAAAGTATTTGACTTCCCATCACATCCCCACCCCAAGAAGCTCTGAAAGGGAAGGGGGAAGGGACCCTACGGCCATGTTCCCAGGCTGGCCAGAGTCATGCAATCTCTGTCTGTAGCTCTGACAAAACTCAGATGCAACTACTGGGAAGCTGAAAAGTGTCATGTGAAAACATAAAGCCCTTCACCTATTTCTAGGGTGCAGAGACAGGGTGGCATACCGGAGGGAGGCGGGGAACTCGAACGGAGAAACTGGAGAGATAAAGTCCGAACCCTTGCTGCCTTCCGCGATGCTGCCAGTCCGTCTAACAGTGGACGGCGGGCACAGGTGAACACACCTTGCTTCGACCTTCGATGGTGCCGAGAAGGGCACGGGACGAAGAAAACGAAGGAAACTGGGTATAGGTGCACGCAATGACGCTTTCAAGGCTGGGAAAGAGAATGAAGAAACAGCTGGGGTTGCCCGGGCACAAGTCAACTTCATCGCCCGAGTCCGAACAGACCCGTACTGAGGGGAGGAGAAGCGAAAGGAAGGGGCCCGTAGTGCAGGAAGGCCCGGTAGAAGCAGCTTCACGCAGAAGTGCTCTTGGGCCCATGGCGATTCAAGCGCAGCCCTCTTTTCCCCGTTCCCTGAAGCCCGCCACGAAAGGAGGAACGCAGACCACTCACCTCGGGGTGCCACTCTAGCAGCGACCGGGCAGTCTCCAACTCCAAACACGTCAATAGCTCACGCAGCTCCAGTTTAAGTAGCGCGCATCCCAACATGCTGCCCCCGCTCCTCGGAGGCTGCCAGTCCAATCAGCGCGCGCTGCCGCCAGACTGACAGCCGATCGGGGCCCTGCGCAGCTGGGGCGGGCGGGTCTCGCGCCCGCCCCCAGCTGGTGGCAGGGGGGCAGAGGCAGGAGGAGTGGGCGGGGCCGCGCGCGCGCCCCTCCCTCCCCCGCCCCGCCGCGCCTCCCGCGCCGCGGCCCGCCTCTTAACACTTCTTCTTGATCGGCGGCTCTACTGACCAATCGACAAGCCCAACTCTTGCGGCGGCGGCGTCTAGTGGCCGGACCCAGGGCGGAGCGCGCGAGTCGGGGCGGGAACAACGGCAGGCGGGGGCCAGGGGCGGGCCGGGGGGAGGTGGGGGCGGTGGCCGAGCAGGCCCGGGGAGGCGGTGGTGGGCGCGACGTCGGCGGCAGCGGCGGCGGCGGCGGCGGCAGCGGCAGCTGCAAGTTGGGCTGCAGGGGCAGCGCATACACTACAATGGCTGCTGGAAAGAGGCGTAAGGAAACAATTTCCAGGCCCGCCGCGTCCAGCCCGAAATATGAGAAAAAAATTATTAGAAATTCCGCGGGCGGTGTAAAGGCGGCGGACGGGCCGGAGGGAGGATGTTAAAGCCCCGCGGTGAGTTCTCCCGGGATCCGGGGCGGCGGAGAGGCGTTTAGCGGGAGAAATATCAGGGTTATTTAAATTATGGGACTAGCCAAGGGGGCAGAGGAACAGCGGCGGCGGCAGGAGGAGGAAAAGTTTGTGCTACTCTCAGCCCCTGCTCAGGACCCCAGAGAGAAAAATAATAATAAAAAATAAAATAAAATAATTAATTGAGGGTGCGAGGACTCCCGAAGTCGCTTCTGACAGGGCGGGGGGCGATGCGGCTGGAGACCCAAAGGTGAGGTCGGTGGGAAAAAAAAAAAAAAAAACCCTTTATTCAGGGTCTGGAAAGTTTGAAAAGTTTTCCTCCTCCTCCTCCTCCTCCTCCTCTCTGGTGCTGTGAATATTGTGACAGCGGCAGCGGCAGCAGCGAGAGCGGAAGACATTAGAGACCCGAAAAATAAGGGAAAAATTAATATAAATTCAGTTTTGAGAGTAAACTCTCCGCATTTTCCACCAAAACATCCCGGGGGAAGGTCGCTTCCCAAAGGGCCTGGCGGAAACCCGCAGTCGGCAATATTTGGGGGGCACTTTGAGTGACTTGGGGTAACTTTGCCCCTTTTTCAAAAGAGGTTTTTCTTTTTGGGAGAAATGAATTTGTTTTTGCCCTTTCCTCAGGTGGGCGAGTTGGGGTCCGGGTGCGGGGTCTTCAGGGAGGTGTGAACCTTGGATGTGTGGCTGCGAGGGCGGGGGATAGGGGGAGGGGGTGCTAAATGAAAGCAGGAGATCTGCACAGAGCAGGGACAGCTTGTTGTCAGTATCATAAACAACCAAAATGGAGGGAGAACTCAGGCATATAACCAAATAAAAATTTTTAAAAAATCGCAAAAAATCCCTAAAAATCCGGGATGCTCCCCCTTTTCTCGCTAAAGGTAAAAGTATGAACCGCCTTTCCCCTGAAGTCCATTTTGACTTTGCAGGGACCAAGGAGTTAATATTTATTTATTTTTTAAAACTTTCGAAGGGCAAAAGCCTTTTATAACTCAACCGACAATGAGAAAACGTGAAAATCCGATGCAAGAGAAGGAGGGGGAGGGAGGGGGGAGATGGTAGAGCAGAAACTGCTAAACTTATTGGTAATGTGGACTGATCTGAGATAAGATAAACACTATATTTGCTATTTTATAACTCTCTTAATGATCTTTGCGGTTTGGGGGGGGGAGTTTGGTAGGAAAAAAAAGTGATGCCATTTTTCTTAAGAGAGTTAATATGTGTGATTGGAAGAATAAACCTTTCTGGCTTTAGATTGCATTTTCGTCGCATTTATGCTTCAGGTTTTGTTAGTGGCTCCCTCCTTTCTTTAAACTAGGCTGTACAGAGGAGGGGTAGAGAGGTGATGTTGCACTGAGAGGCTGGAGTGCGAGACTGGAGCACCTTTTGGGGAGGGGTGGGGAGTTGCTTGGCTTCTCCCTTCCTGACACGTTTACTTCACCTGTTCACCCTCAGTTAAGAATGTTGAACTGAGGTTTTTCTGGTTTTATGTATATAAAAGCATGGTGCCTCTTGCATCACATTGAAGTTAATGGGAAAGTGCTGCTGATGTTGGTTCCACGTGGGATATGGGACAGAGCACGGCATTTTAAAGGGACAGCTTCTCTTTTCCTATGGTTTTCATCACCTACACAGAATCACTGTCTGAGGACCAAGAGAAGAGGTGCTGGGAGGGTGTGTGGTGATGGAAGAGCCTTCTTTCCATTACTCAAGTGCGCCCACCTTTAGGCGTGATGGAGAGAACGGAGGGATAAACAAACTCAACAGAAGATAGATATTGTATAGATTAGTTTGTTTCCAAATTGTTCTTTTGTGTAATAAGCCCTCCCAGGAACTTTTCATGTTACATTGCTTTGCTTTGGAAGCTGATTTTGGAAGGAATTGTGGAAAAATGGAAATAGTTTAAGGTGTGTGGTGTAATGGTATAGCATTATTGAACAGTTATGAATTCTGTGCAGTGAGATCAAAGAGCTGTGTATGCCCATAATGTGAATTTACAGCCATTTTGTAAAATGCTGTAAAATACCTAATATTCAATTTGGCTTAAGGTACAATGAGGACTTCTGGTTGAAAACTGTAGGCAGAGTGATGGAGATTGTTTAACACTGTAAGCAGTAAGCATTTCTTTAAGGAAAAAAAAGCACATAAACCAACACTATGGAAAAGTTTACGTATCCCCATTTTTAAAGCCCATCCTATACATGTGCTGAAACTCTGTGCCTTGAATTTAGAAGATTTTTTAATCCTGAGACGTATCAGTTTGTATCTTTTAAGTTAATTTATTTGTGTTATTTAACAAAAAAAAGTTTACTGAGCATAAACTATTGTTGCCTCTAATAGACTAGATTTCTACAATATATTCAAAATTAAAAATATATAAATTGTTAGTTGTATTCTATTTGGGATTAAAGTTAATCTTGAATAAAAATTACTTGTGTTCCGTTTTCCACAGGTATATGGAATTTCTAGAATAAGTGCCTATTTTCCTTTGTTTTTATGATTTAGAGAAATGGATTAAAAATAGAGCTGGATTTTTAGACTTCTTATTCAGAATACTTTTTCTTGCCATACTATACAAAGAGATTATTTTGTATGTTAACTTGTGTTCACAACTGAGTTCCATTGTATGTTAACTTGTGTTCACAACTGAGCTCTTCTCTGCACCTTGGTGTAAATACCTCTAAAACAGCATTACATAAGTGTAGTGTTTAAGTACATCACAGTGGTTTCTGATTTTGGAAGCAATTACAATTTTATAAAAAGTCATTAAAAATTAATCCCATGTTAAATCAAAATTGATTGGGAAGTGATTAAACTATCAGTGCAGAAGAGAAACTTTCTTCCTCCTCCCAATGGTCTTCTTCCCCAAAATTTCAGAATGTTATTAATGGTTGTAAAACCTCTGAAGTTTATCTTACATTTTTATTGTATTTTGTCTTAAGACAGTTATATTGACTATAAGTAGTCAGAATGAGGCTATGTATTTAAAATGAGTGAGTCTTTTAGATCTTGAATAGTTGCCTCTTGACAAACCAGATAGTGTCAATGAATTCGATTTCTGTAACAGTGAAGAAAAAGTATTTCTTCCAGTTATTTTAGACCATTGAGTTAATCAGGTTGTTTGGACACTTCAGGTTATGGTTATTGTCAACCTAAATAAAAGTGCTAGTATTATGGTGTGTTTTTTTTCTCTCAGAAAGGGTGATACAGAACTTTCTTCATGTTTGGGTTTGACATAACTAGTTACTTGTCTGAACTAGAAAATTCACTCTCAGTGCACAAGTGTAAAATCTGTAATTCCTTGGAGAGTCTTTAGATAGGGCACAGCACAATATCTAATTTGAATTTGTTGTATTGAGCTTTTTCAATACCTTAGAAATCTGCCTGTTGAACATGTTTTTTCTGAAGCTTCAATTAAATTACATCAATTTACAGAAAAATCTTAGGATATTGTATGCTCAGAATCTTTACATCAGTTTGAAATAGAGAAACCTCATACATTGAGATTCTTATTTGAAATTTATATGCCTAATTTTGCTATGAGAAATTTTATAAGGAATTTAGCTGCTGTGGAAAATGATTTATAAATGTGGACTAACACTAATAAAATTCTATATCTGTATATTTATTATAACCAAAATATTTAATAAATAGACATCTTACAGCTAAATAAGTGAATTTGCTCTTGTTAATATACTTTACAGTTTTTATGGATGCTTTGTGGCTTAATGCTATACAAAGGTGGAGGGTTTCCTTCATTTTTAACAGAATACTGGTTGTTTCTATATACATTTTGTTTTGGTATTCTGGAAATTTCCTCCCTCAGGATTAAATTGTTATTTGGTAAATTAAATGTAATATGCTTGTCTTTGAGATCTGAAAAGCCAGATAACTGAAGCACATCTGTAACTGTCTTTGAAGTTTTAATAATCATTTGGCTCTTGAGCTGTGTAATCAAAATATTGGTTTCTTTTATGAATGTATTAATCTTTTTATTTATGATACTGTTCTTTGTAAAAGT